AGATGGAAAGTCAGACAGGCATTTAAGGGTAGGCTTGGAGGTGTTCTCCTCCCCAAAGGCATTTTGCACAGCATAGTCCCAAACACAGTCTCTGCTGTGTGAGCAATCCAGCCCCTGCACTCACTCCACTCCAGCAGAACCAGGAGGCAGCAGGGTTTCCACCTGGCAGAGCTGAGCTTGCCACCAGGTGCCCTCTGTTCCAGCACCTGCCACGGGCATGTCTCACCTCTCTTTGCAGGCTCGTTACCCCCATCTCATCAGCAGAGTGAGAGGAAGAGGAACATTCTGTTCGTTTGACACTCCAAATGATGCAACTAGGAACAAGTTAATTACAATAGCCAGAAACAAAGGTAAGAGAGTTTGTGTGTGTGGATGAGCTTCACGTGACAAACAGTAGCATAGGTAATGCTCCTGAATTTTCCTTTTTCGGATGGTGTATGTGTACTACAGCATCAGAGGAGAGAAGGGAAATGACAAACAAAACCGTATTTAGAGTTTTCTGGAAATACTTGTGTTTTCAGAGACTTCAGACCAGTACATTGCATGGTGTGTATATTTACCAGGCTCTATAGGTCTGGTGTTACTGGAAGAGATCTATGTAGGGCAGGAGTTTTTGTGACATCAGCCATATAGTCCTCTGCAGTGACCTCAGGTATCCCTGGGCATGGCTTCCAGCTACAGACAGGCCCTGGAGGGGATCCTCAGGATCCACACCTAACTTTCTCTGAATTTAACTGTGTGTGGGCCCTGGATTTGCTGCTGTCCATTTTTTCTGTTACTCTTATCTCTTGAAATGCATGATGCATCTAAACTGTGGTGAAACCAACATTTTAGAGCGAAAAATACACCATTTTCTGTTCTTTGAAACTAAGGCAGCAGGGAGAGAAGGCAAGCAGTTTGCTTCATGGTAGAACAAGGCTCTGCTTCGAGGCAGGGTAAGCCCAGCTCAGTGGCTGAGTTCTCATCTCAAATAGCTGATTTGGGGTTAAAAAAATTGCCATGTATTTAAAGTACTGAAGGAAGAGGTTTGCTGGCATGAGATATTTTAATTTTTTTGTAATTAAAAATGAAGTAGTTTAAAAACAAAATTGCAGGGAAACCTCCTGTGTCTTATTGTGGGACCAAGATACTTAACCAGTGGAGCTGAGCTCTGCACTGGGTGGAGTCTTTCCACTGCTGTTGGAATTAGTCCCCATACTCCCAAGTGTACAATATATATTTTATACAATATCTACAGACACCCACAGCATTCTTTTAAGTTTCTGTGAAGTTTGATGTCCTTCACACCACTGGCCACGTGCTGTATCATGGTGTGGTTAGCAGGGATTTGGGGAGCTTCTGTTGGCCCCCCACAGTGAGGTGACCCTCAGTCAAGAGACCTGCATTTTTGTGGACACTTGGCAAAAGTGGAAATGACTATAGAGGACTTATTCTGTTCCTGTTTCAGGTGTTGTTCTGGGAGGCTGTGGAGACAGATCCATTCGCTTCCGTCCCACACTGATCTTCAAGGACCACCACGCGCACCTCTTCCTGAACATTTTCAGTGACATCTTAGCAAACTTCAAGTAAAAAGCAGTTCCCTCACACTGAACAGCTGATTATGAAATTAGTTTGCATTAATTCATGTCTTCTCTACTTACAAGATAAGTGTAAAGTCATAAACCGAGGTTTGTGTTCTGTGTGTGATCCTGCCCAAGGCAAGCTGCTCCATGCACACGCGCCCCAGGCAGAGCGTTGGCACTGGTCACCAGCAGGTACACGCAGCTGCCCCTCACTGTGCATCCCCTACAACCTGTGGGCCTCCCTCTTCTGGCCTGGGCCATGCCAACTGCAGACTCCTCTCTCCAGCCGTGGCCCTGACTATCCATTCTCTGAACAGGACCCGTTTTCACAGGTGACCCCGATAGATTTCCGTCCAGTAACAGCAACAAGGGTGGCCCCACTTAGGAGCCACGTGCCTGCCATGTGGGAAGTGCCATTCTCTGATGGCAGCTGGAATAAAATCAGAGTTTCGAGGAAAGCTCTGCTTTCCAACCACTGCCAAGCACAGTGTTTTACAGAACGATTTCCAGCCTTTTTCCCTCGAGTACAGACATCTGCCCCACGAGGTGGGTCAGGGCACTCCCTGTGCCCAGCCTGCACATGCTGCTTCAGAGGCACCGGTGCCCTCAGCCACACCTGCAGCGCTGCAAGTGGCACTGAAGCACTTGTCCTGTTCTCCTCATCATGGGTGAGTTTTAAAACTTGTGACTTCTCTTACAACTTGTACAGAGAAGGCTCTACCCTGAAGTATGTAATTTGACAAAGCTTAGAGAACCATGCAAAGCACATTACTTCCACTTCTGCCAGCAATTCAGAATGATTCCAGATTATTTTACCATTTGCCCAGAACACACAATAGCCATTAATTTATCTATTACAAGTTCTACATGAATACTTGAGGTATTTTATAAAATTACAGCAGAAATGCTTAATCTTAGCCATTATCTGGTATCAGAGCCACTACAGCGAAGGCCTAGTCCTAACTGCACATTTATAATGCAAAGTAATTCTATTTTTGTTCTAATAGTATATTCTAAATCATTGATACTTCAGAGATCTTCTAGAAAGCCACAGGATCAAAAAAAAAAATAGTGTCAACAGTTCATTAATTTGTTTCTCTTCAGAGAATTGTTTTGGATGTCTCTTTACTGTTTGCTTAGGGCTGACTTGAACTAGATCTGGTGCCTTTCTTTTCTTTTTCTTGGAGGAAGCATCTGGATTTTGTTTACTAAGTTTAACTTTCTGTTGTGCACCAAAAAACAGGGACCACAATGGACTTTACAGTTGCCCTATTTAGGACCTGACCACAATTTTTAAGTACATAATAAGAGACAGAGCAGTTAAAAGATTTACATGTTTAATACAGCTACCAAAATGTGAAAGGTTTCTTACCTGCTTTGAGAAGTGTTCATCATGGTTTTCCCACTTTAGAGTATGGTGTTGGGAAACCCAAGTACACTCACTTCTGCCAGTTGAAACCCAGTGGGATTTCTGTAAACCTCTGCAGAAACCAGAATTCTGGTACCACTGGGCAAAACCCGAGCAGGTTTTTGAACAGAGGTTGTAGAAATCTGGGGTAAGGACCAGTAAACTGGTGTTCAACAAAACCTCATTGCCATCGCTGTCCTTGTAAGCATATTATCAGCAAAAGGAAAGTCAAACCAAGAACTGTATTTGACAGCATTTTGGGAATTAGTTTGTTCAACATATCAGTGCAGTAGTTTTAGTGAATGTCTCTAGCAAGTCTTGTACTTTTACAGAAGCAAAGGTCCAGTAATTTGAAGTCTTACCACATCTTCACTTTTATTATGACTACTCTAGGTGTTTTTATAATTTTTACTGACACTCAGTAACTGTATAATTGTGTACAACATGTTGATGAAATCGTTAGAGAATACATAGAAAGCACTGCAGCTGAAGCATATAAAGTTAATATTGTTTACAGCATACTGTGGACAGTGCCAAATAAATGTTTAACAAATACTTAACTACTACACTTCATGGTGTAACTAGTAACTGTACACAGATTCATAACAAATGACATCTCATGTGTAATCAATATTCTTAAATAAAATATTTATAATTGAACTTCTGCAGGGCTTTTAATTTTACACCTAGTACATGCCTGAGCTGAACCACTAGTGCATATTAAATACATTCTGAAGATAAGCCTCCAAAAAACAGTGTATTTGTACAGCCCACTGTATTTTGCTGCCGTGGTGTTTACACCAAGAACATTTCTCTTTTCCTTTTGATATTGCTGTGCCACACAGTATCAGCCAAAATTTAAAATCACAGAACCCCAAGAGGAAAAGTTCAACATGAATAAATGGTAATTCAGGGTTAGCCTGTGCACTGAAACAGCAATTTTACTTACCTGCATCTGCTGATCCACCAAGAGACAGAGGTTTCAATTTACATGAGGAAGAGACAGGGAAAAGAACACTCCAGATTATTGGTGAGGGTCAGTTTATTTGCCACTTTCAAATGAAGTAACAGCTAGAAGAGTGGTGTAAGGGGTTAACTTGCTTCTGACAATTCAAAAGATCTGTTATGTGTTACAGGTAATAGGTTTGGCTCTTTCTCAGGTTTAAATTCCTCCCTTCTACTGAGGTTTTGGAAAAGGAGGAGTCATACTAACACCATGGAGTAAGACCATTGTCTTTCATGGATACACGTGCTGCTTTTACCATTCCAGTGGGAAGAAATATTTTACTGTGAGGGTGGTGAGACACTGGAACAGGGAGGTTGTGGATGGATGCCCCAACCTTCACAGTGTCCAAGGCCAGGTTGGATATAACCTTGAGGAATGGGCTCTAGAGAGAGGTGTCCCTGACCATGGCAGGGGGCACTGGGGCAAGATGAGCCTTAAGCTTCATTTCAACCCCTTAATATTCTACGATTAAATGGGGCAGCAATTTCTGCAGAGGCTCCTGAAATGCTGCCCCAGCCTGTAACTTACCCTTACAGCTGAGCTGCCAGTGCCTCTTGCTGCACACCCCCTTCTTTTGTCCAGTTACATTCACATCCTGGAGGATCTTGCCAGGAGACCACATCCACCCTCCACAGCATTACACACCTCCTTCCCAGCTTCATTAGCACATAACTCACCTTTCATTAACACATAAGCATGTCTGTGTCTGACATTCACCACCACTCATCATATGTACATACAAGACCAGTTTCAATTTCCAGAGGCTTCCCAACCAACCTGGAACTGGCTAAAAGAAGCACTGATTTGGAGTGAGGGTGCTCTGGCAGCTCCTGTATTTCACTTTAAGAGTCTTTCCTGTTTCACAACAACTGAAGGGGCCAGCTGAGACAGTTGGGGTCAGCACCACTAATGCAGCCCCCTAGTGCATGTTCCAAGGAGGACAGTTCAGACTGGGAACTGCTCTCACAGCACAACACAGACATCACTGAATCTAACGTGGAACAGACACTCCTCACACCATAAACAAGCTGCAAAGACATTTAATCCAGTGGATTATTCTTTACCACTGTGACTTTCGATCCTGGGTGCACTTACAGCAGGCTTTGCATAGGAAAAGGACAGGGGTGTCAGTTGGGTAAGCTATTTAAACCTCATGGAACAATAAGCACAATGAACGTGCAACACGGAAAATCACTGGAAATGAGCTGGTGTATCACACACGTTCTCCAAATATTTGAGTAAACTTCTCTTTGTCTACAATCTGTCCATACTTAACTGTAAAATATAAAGTATCTGTGCTGTTATACCGTTTGAACTGGAGAAGCAGCTCTCCCTTGCTGTCTCCAACTTCATCCAAAGTCACCACTGTCTCTATGGGACAGTAAATGTCATTCCGTCTTCCCCAGAATGTCAAGTGGGCCACTCTGACAGTTTGGCCAGTTTCACTCAAGTAGATGAATCCAATAATTCTTCTGAAAAAGTAGCTCATACCGTACAACATTGCACCAGCAAAGACTGCAAGGCCAGTTGTGTATAAGAGGATATTCTGAGACACCTGGTTCTGTAGGTAGAGGTACCAGATGGGAGGCAGCGTGACCACGGTGGTGGCAGTCTGCAACAGCTTCAGTCTGGACAGGACCCTGCAGTACTTTATCCCTGGAAACCTGTAGACCAGTTTGAACTCTTCTGTCCTCCCATCCACAGCCTTCTGCTGGACCACAGCAGCAGTGGCCAAATGGGACAGACACACAGACTCTCGCTGTCTCCTGAGATAACTGTTAACACCTCTGACTTGCTGGTTTTGTGTCTGCAAACACTCCCATGTGCCAAAAGTCCAGGGTGGGCGAGCATCTCCCCTTCTCCATGACCTTGTCCAGAGCACCTTCTGCAGACATCTCCCAGAAGCTGGTGCCATGCAGACTTTAGTCCTGACTGTGCAGAGCCAAGCCTGTAAGGAAAGGTTCCCACAGGTCATCATTTGAGCCCTCGTTAGAACTAAATCACAGTGAGCTTAGTCGGTCCCTCAGGCACCTACAGACAGCAAAGCACAAGCCCCTGCTCAGAGTAACCTCGAACCAGTGTTCAGTCAGGAAACGGGTGTTCGTGCTCACATCCCCCCGTGCAAAGCAAGAGGGAAAACACTTTGGATAACACAGTTAACTGAGATAACCAGTCAGCTCGGTGAACGGACCCCATGGCGTCCCCTGCCTCTCTCGCTGTTTGGTTTTGATGTTCGAGCCACATCAAGGCACTACGGGCCGCTTCAAGGCAAAGAGGGCAGGAGAACGCGGGCTGCCGGCCGGCGGCATCGGCGATTTGATAAATAACCACTTAAATAGCAATTTTAGGGAAACAGGAGAGAAAAAAAAAAAAAAAGCGGACTAGGCACGGTAAAGGCGAGAGAGAGGGCCCGGAGAAAGAGGGACCGGACAGTGGGGACGTGCAGGATAAAAGGAAGGAAGGGAACCCGGCGCTGTCCCCGCCGCGGTGTAACACACACGCGAGCGCCAGCGCCCGTGCAGGGACGCGTCGGGAGGGGAAAGGGAAGGGGAAGGAAAGGGAAAAGGGAAGAGGGACCGGCCCGTCCCTGGCAGCCCCCCATCCCCTCCCGTTCCATCCCCTCCCGCCCCTCACCGCCGCCATGTTCGCACCGCCCCCTCAGCGCGCGCGGGGCCCGCCGGGAGGGAGGGGCGGCCCCGCCGGCCCGGCCCCGCCATGGCCCCGCCGCCCGCAGCGCTCTGTCTGTTCGACGTGGACGGGACCCTCACGGCCCCGCGCCAGGCGAGTGCGGGACGGGGCTGTGGGACGGGGCTAAGGGCTGTCACCGAGGGGCTGCGGGCGCTGGGGGAGCGGGGGGTGTCCCACAGCGTGCGAGCCCTCGGGCAGCGGGGCATCGCACACGGCGGGCTGGGTGGGCGAACTTGCCGCGCCCCTTACGGGGGAAACAGAAGAATCCTCTCTATTTCTTAAAGCCAGTGCCGCTGGTTTGAGGCGGCTGTTGCGGAGCAGCGCTGCGGGGCTCATGCCGCAGGCAGGGAGGGCTGACGGGTGTGTTTGGGCGCAGAGGATCTCCCCGGAGATGGCGGCGTTCCTGCAGCGGCTGCGGCAGAAGGTGAAGGTTGGGGTGGTGGGAGGCTCCGACTTGGCCAAGATCCGCGAGCAGCTGGGCGAGGACGGTAAGGACCGCGCTGATGCAATCCCGAGCTACCCGCAAGGAAGTCAGGAAGGTTAAATGTAGGTTAAACCCTGTTCGTTCCCCTCCTCCCTTGCTTTGAGCTGTTCCTGGTAATGTCGCGTTGCACTCAGTCTGTGAAGAGCTGTTTCCTGGCACTTAGAAACTGCAGCGAATTTTACAGGTATCTCGGTATCATATTAAGGGATTGTTACTAATGGTGAACTCCTGGCAGAACTTTGGGAGGGCTTTATCCCGTTGCTGCTTTACAGTGGGGTTGTGCGTGTGACACACACGAGTGGCTGCTCAGCTGTGAGCACATCCCTGGAGGGTCTGACTTTGTTCACTGCACCATAACCCGCATAACAAACCCCTTTTGTAATGAGGTGCAGCGATGGACTCTCACCCTATCCTACAAGAGGCACTTCCTTTTCTGTGTCTTTAATGGTCTTAATTGATGCCCCTGACAGCCTTCTGTCATGCCCAGATAACTCAGAATTTGTTTGGCTTCCAAGTGGTCTCCACTAAGCCGTATCATTTTGTGTTGTAGTAAGAGTCTCACAACTGCCAGACATCTACTGAAGATTAGTAACACTGAGGAAACAAACGTAAAAGAGCAGTATTTGACTTGCTCTCTCGCCAGGCTGTGCGCCAGGTTTTTGCAATATTTGAGGTGTTCAGTCACTTCCTTACACTTAATGCAAAGAGACATATTTTCAGGAGAGGAAGAGCCTTTGAGCAAAAACACGGGTAACTCAATTGAATGACTTCTTGTGATTTGAGGTGTGCACTAATCTTGGTGAGAAATGGGAGTGGCTTTGATCCTGTGCTTAATGTTATGCTGCTGAATTTTTCATGCTTTGGGATCTAATGTTTGCTGTAACCTGTTTAACATGTAAGACAAACTGCATTAAACACACATGGGGAAAAAGTATGTGTTACTGTCTTTCTGTTTGCTTGCAGTGGTTGAAAAATTTGACTATGTGTTTCCAGAAAACGGTCTTGTAGCATACAAGGATGGGAAATTCCTAAGCAAGCAGGTAAGTCTGAAATTTCCAGTAGTGGGAAAGAGAAATTTTCTAAAGATTTTCTAAAGACTTTTCTTTGTTGCTACAGTGTAGTCCTCTGTAATCACCCTTCTAACAAAGGCCAAAACTGCTGCTGTTTTCATGTTACCCCTGTTAATGGATCATTCATTTGGCCTGTAATATCAACATAAGTAACGGAGAGCAAACATTTAAAAAGAGATCCTGGCTGAAATTGCTGCCTTGAGCAGTGGTTCCAATTTACTGCAGGAACAAGCTCCATTTCTTCATACTTGGCTACAGCAGGTATTAACTGCAGTTTTTGTTTAAGGCTGCTGCCTCTGGCCCACAGCTTCCTTCTAAACTAGGTGCAAGTAGGGAGCATATTAAAGGATGCTAACCTTTATATGCTATGGTAATATGCTAAGCATGTTAACCATGGTGTTATGGTTAAAAAATAAAAAAGTAAACAAAAATAAAAATGAGAGCCTTCGGTTAATACCGTGTGTGCATCAGCTGAGAGTTACTGATTGAAGGCATGTTTGTTCCTCTGTGGTATTAACCATGCCTGATTATCCAATGTCTGTGTTTTCCATGTGACTTGCTTTTAGAATCTCAAATTCTGGACCCTTGGTTGAATGGTGTTTATTTTGTTAGAGCATTCAGGGTCACCTGGGCGAGGACATTCTTCAGGATCTAATCAACTACTGCCTGAGTTACATTGCAAAGATTAAACTGCCAAAGAAGAGGTATGTGCACACACACATCTCATGTGGCCATGTTCTCCTTGTTACAGTGTTGGACATCAGGATGTAAAGCTCAGCTCAGGCTGCTGAGCAGAACAAAAAATGAGTAATTTGTGGGTTTGGAACACTGTGTACGTGAAACAGCTCAATCCATGCATACAAAGACAAGCTCCCAACTAGAGCACAGGATTTGAAATATTGATTCAGCATTTTTAAGAGGGAAGGAGACTCAGTTTTGAAGTAGGAGTGATTCCTTGATGTGTTTGGAATTCAGCAGCATAATGTTTTCCAGAGATGAGAGGTGTGCAGCAAGACCAGCTCTGTGTGATACATGAGGTGCAGCTGCTCCAGGCACTAAAATGCACCGTGTGAGGCAGGGCAGGACACTGCCCAGATTGATGTGAATTTTGCAGCTTCACCCCAAAACTGACAGCCTGGTCCGTCAGGCTCTGAGGATTGGGTTGATGGGATGCTCCAGTCACACTTTTAAAACCAAGCTGTACTTTTAACAGTCAGAAAGGATGACGTTGAGATTGCCAGATTGAAATAACAGCCCAAAGTACTCCTTGGTGCCAGAGGGATTGGTTCCTATGTATGAAATGAGTTTTATGCATACAGTGAGAGGCTGAAGGATGCAGCTGATTCCCATTGTCTTCGGAATTAAATGGAAGTTCATTATGATACTTAGTGTTTTGATCAATTTTTTCATCTATTTTCTGTCTTGTTAATCACTCCTTTTCCAGAGGCACTTTCATTGAGTTCCGGAACGGGATGTTAAATGTGTCCCCCATTGGAAGGAGCTGCAGCCAGGAAGAACGACTTGAGTTCTATGAACTCGATAAAGTGAGTTACAGCTCTTGAAAAATACCCAGCTCTCCTGGAGGAGGCAGTTACAGCCAGGTTATGATTTTTAAAAAACTTCTATACTTTCTGCAGTTTTTTTTCATTGTAATCCACGTAGTTTAATGAACTTCTTCATTCAGACCTCAGCAAATAGACAATAATTTTTTTGTTGCAATGGTTAACAATGATTACTTGCAGAAGGGGTGGGCTTGGCTCATGTTTCTTTTAATCCAGAACACCCAACCTCTACACACAGGGTAAAAATGCTGTCCTAGATAAAACCATTCCTTGGTGAGCTCTTTAGTGTACCAATCTGTATCCATTCAACTCAATAAAACTATTCCTTTACTTGTCCTCTGCAAAGCCTTTTAAGGCAGAATTTTAACAATTGAGGTCAAACTGTTCACCATTTATCCTCCTTTGTACACAGCTAAATGTGCAAGGCTGAAATGAATCTGAGCCACAAGAGTTCTGTTTCCTGCTACACCACAACAACTGTTTCTGACTCAATAAAAAACCTGAAACCTAATTCCTCAAAAGCAGACTTTATCTGTGACTCAGTTAATGGATGCTGAAGGATATCTAAGATATCTAAGCATTCTGAAAAAACCCTTCTTGGAGTATATGGCCTCAGAAGAGTAGTATCAGTTTTTTAGACTCGTCCTGTGCCTCAGTCTTCCCATTTGTAAAACTGAATTTTTCTGGGAGTTGAAGCACACTTTTGTAGTGTTTAAGATTTTCAGGTGGAAGAGCAAATATCACAGCACGTATGTCAAGTTTTGCTCTTTTATTTTTTTACAAGTTGGTAACAGATTAAAGTGGGAAGATTTTCAACTTGCTGCCAGTAATAATGTGGCTGTATCACAATCCTGGTACTCAGACCTCTGGGTATTTTTGAGATGTTTTTTGGGGGTTATCTTTTCATTGATGAATTAACACAGCTTGTAACTGATATGTGGTTTTGTTTTGGTTTTTTTTCTTAACAGAAGGAGCATATAAGAGAGAAATTTGTGGCTGATTTACGAAGAGAATTTGCAGGCAAAGGCCTCACGTTTTCTATAGGTAATACATTAAAAGAATGTAATTTAAAACATCAATTAATTTAAATTCAATTTAAGTCATATTGTCTCGTGGCTGTGACATATCCCATCTCATTTGTGTGATAGTTCTCACTGGGGGTGGTTGCAGGCAAGACTGAGCCTCTTTTTCGTCTTAGGCTTTCACTTGGACATTTTAATTGAGATCCATCAACAAAGAGAACTTCATTGCTTGTCATCAGTTCATTGTCCTTTAATGTCAGTTGTATGACTGATTCTGCTCATTTTGAAACATATTATATGCTTCTATTTAGTCAAGAGTTGTTTCTGTGAATCAGTTTTGATCAGAACTGTTCCATCAGTGCTGTTCAGTTGCCCTTGGTTCTTCAGCTATAACTGCATTGCGTGGGAGGAAGGAAAGAATCCAAAAGCAAGTGCAAGCTTAAAGAGAAAAATTATAATAGAGAGGGAATTAATATTCCATGCATTTCTTCTTTTTTCCCTTCTCCTCTAATATATTACCACATTCCTGCCCTTTGTTATTTTTCAGAAATTATGGTTGCAATTAGTGCTGCGGCATTGAAGCACTAAGGCAGAAATGAACTGAAATGCAGCTCTCTTGAAGCATGTTGTAAATACCTTTAAGGCATCTGCTTCAACTGGGGATCATGCTTTTAGGTATTGGGGAAGTCCAAGGATTCAGAACTGGAACAGTTGTTGTCCTCTTAGGGTGTGTTAAAAAGGCTGATTTCCTCCTTTTTCTATTCTGAAAGCCTTAGAAAGTCTTTTATCTACAGCCATAAAGTCTTAAGGCAGACTTATGACTGCTTTCATTTGTGTCCTTTCTTTCCAAAATTAAAGAGATTAAATGTAATTCTTTTTAAAAGGTTCACTTTTTGGGAACATGCTAAGACTTTCATATTTGTTTAATGGATAAATAATCATCTCTAAATCACAACTGTAATAACTGATACCCTATAAAACACTTTCTGTACTTACAAGACCTAGCTCATAATATTTCTGTGGCTTCTGCAAAGCTCCCTCTGCCTAAAATCTTACCCAGTTTAGGATTTCTTCACTTCCTCTCCCCTGAGAAATGTGTTCTTAAAATCAAACCAGCCTGCTTGGTTCATGTCTATCCTAGGAGGGCAGATAAGCATCGATGTGTTCCCTGATGGCTGGGACAAGAGGTACTGCTTAGGAATTGTTGCCAGTGATGGATACAAGACTATTTATTTCTTCGGAGACAAGACTATGCCAGTGAGTACATTAGTTTGTTATATTAATTTCAGAGCTGTTTTAAAGCACAGGGACTGTAGGTTCTAACATTCTAACCTACTTCCTGATGAATTCCTGAAGTCAGGGTACAAACACACGTCCATGTTTAACTGGCTGTGCTGCTGGGGGAGAGCTGGGAGGTTTTCCTCCTGTTTCCTGATGTGAACACAAGGTTCTTGACAGACTTAATAGAAATTTGTTTGTAAATGGAGCTTCTGTAATTCTGTTAAAAACCTAGGTGACATGACTATGTGATAAACTGATTATCCTCTGTGGTTAGTGTAGATTGATGCTTCCTGTTGGCTGGTGGTTATTAAACATATTTATTTCCCATTTAATTTAATTTAATGCCGTTCCTTTGCTCACCACTGTCTCCACATTGGAGAACTGAACATAGTCCCTGTCCCCCATCATTGGGCTCAGCAGGGCAATTCAGAAGCTTTTAAAACTCCTGAGCAGAGACCTGACAAGAGCCTGTGAGGGCAATGGCAAGCACAAGGACTTGGATGAAATTAAAGCTGTCTGAATATGGCCAAGGGACAGGGGTCAGGCTAAGTTTTACAAGAACTTGGAGTTATAAAACTCTGAAGTTACGAAGAACTTTATAGATTTATAAACTTGAAAAGGTGAAATTTTATAAGGAAAAGACAATTAAATTAAAGGGGTTTTCTGCCTTGACAGCAGCTGCAAAAGTAATCACCTGTCCCTCTGGCACAGAGTTCATGGACAGTTCATTTTAAACCCTGTAAGTGGCAGTGCAGCATTTTCAGAGTGTTGAAGTACCAAGAGCTGCTGCTGACCCCGTGAAAGCAGAGTGGCAAACAGCAAACAGAAACTTGGGAACTGCTTCCTGCAGTGCTCCCGGTGGTTTTCAGGGATCTCTGCTCATGCAGGTGGCACTGCTGTTGTTCCCTGAGCCTTCTCAGGTGTCCTGTCACTGCAGGCCCTTGGAAAAAGGCCCTTCTTTCCATGGTTTCCTTTATGTGTCCTTTTTGTGTGATTATATGTTAAATAAAATTAAATCCTCTTCTGCTTCCAGGGAGGGAATGACTATGAAATTTTCACAGACTCCAGAACAGAAGGCTACAGTGTCACATCCCCCCAGGATACCAGAAGAATCTGTGAAGAGCTATTTTTTAAATAAAAGACTTTCGGAATTCACCCTTCCAGGACGGTTAAAACAGCTTAATAACTTGAGACATCATCTTCATTCTGTATTGTGTTTTGTAACTGTTTAATGAATAGCAGGTGCTTTGCAGGTCAGTCATTACTGAAGGGAAATGTTTTAATTGAAGACCCCTTGCTGACCAGGGGAACACAGCAGAGCACATTTCACACCATCCTTTCAAGTACTGTTTTCTTTTTGTTTGGTTGTGAGGTTTGGGTTGGTTTATATTTTTTGTTGGTTTTTAAGTCATCAGATAGTTGATTTATGGTCTTGAAACTGGCCTGCAAGGCTTTATCCCTAGTTTTTTTATTTTGAGGCTGCTTTTTAAAAGATGAGCATTTTATAAGAGATTTTTTTTTAAATACTGCCTTGTGCTATAAAATCATGAATTATAAGACAGTTGGGACTTTCTTGTCTGAAACTGGAAGATGAGTAGAAGAGACAGGATTTATTCCTTCCTGGAGGTGGGAAGATTGAACTGAGCCATAAGTTCCTGACCCCACATGTGTTCCAGTGTGTGGTCAGAAGGTGCTTCAGGTCTCCCACCCCTGGGAAGGCTGGACCAGCTGGGGCCAAAGTTACCTCCTCAGAATGGCACAGTGAGATCATGGTCCCTACACTCTGCAGACTACTAAAATCTAAAAAAATAAAAAAATTGTAAAGATAATCAAAGTAACATCATCACAGTAACAAAATATATTCCTGTCACTTTCTGATAGTTTTCTGATTTTCTTTGTAAGAAAGAAATTAAGGGTAAATGAGATTTTAGTACTAAGAAAATTACCTGAATTATGTTTCTCTTAAAATTCAAGTCAACACCTGACAATCCATGTAACTGTTAATATTACTTTTCTCATCTGGCATTACACAAGTAGTCTTCTGTATGAACAATTTGATTTAGTAACAGAGAAATAAATCTCATCATAAAAAATTACTGTTTCAATTTGTCATTTTGGCAAATAAAATACTTTAAGCAGAACCTGTTGCATGCTGCCTGTCTGTACAAAGAAATGAGGGACCTGAGTCTTTCCAATTCCATGTTTATGTGATACCTGCACAGTAAAAAGGAGAGTACAATCTTTGTGTACCAACCCAAATCCCCAGAAGAGCTTACAAAAAAGGAGAGGGAGCTGTAATGCACCTCATGCATCAAAACTACCTTGTCTGCTAATGTTTTCTTATATAAGTCTTTAAGTATCAAACACCTGCATTCTCCTCTCTTTGATCATCTTCACCACCACCTACCCAGGGAGGAGACTGAAGACACGTTAAAGCATTATAATGGTCGCATTTATTGTAAAGAAAGCAGTGTGTGATACTCCAACAAGCTGGACAGTGATAAATCCACCACTACCAAGTCTTATGGGTCATAAAAAACAAAGCCAAACTCCAAACCCCACTACAGATTGGTTGTTACCATACACCACAGTGTGATACTGGTACAGCTCAGGTAAAACGAGCCAGCACAGCAGTTACTGACCTCCACACCTCAGAACAGATCCTGTGCCCTGAGTCCTGGGACGTGTCCTGACAGCAAGCACCTGCTGGGAAAACTGCAAATAGGCAACTGGAGTTACACTGTTTCACACAACTAACAAGAGCTGTGCCATCTTTTTTTTTTTAATTTTTTTTTATTATTATTATTATTATTATTTGCAAAGTCAATAAAAATCCACATAATAGGAACATAATAGAGAAAAATGCTGCATTTGAAAAACAAAAATATATGGAAGGCAAATAGGAACAAAATTAAGTTAGTTGCACTACAACTACATGAAGGGAAGAGTGACTCTATCACATCTTACCAAGCAAGTTTTCCTGGGAAACAGATGCAGAATGTACTTCACCAAGACAGCTGAGCCTGTTAAGTAACTCACACAATATTTTACACAGGGTCATCTGAGCAGCACAGCCTGCTGCTGTTGGGAAGGGCAGTTATCCTGCCTGCCTGGTGGCACACCATGGCAGAGAGGCAACTGCCTGCCACCCAGAAGGTCATCTTCAGCCTTGTCTAAATTCAGACACAGTCGGAGGCTATGAAGTATCCACTATTCTACAGCTTTCTACCTCTTACCTTGAAGCAAATTTTTTTAATTTGGGTTGGAACTTTTTGTTTGTTTTTTTTTTTTTAAATACTGGCCTATAAAATTTGTTGCTAATCAACCACCAAGGCACCTAAGTAAATTCACAAACAATCCTGACTTTACAACCACAATACAGTTTCCACACCGGTGCAGCCACACCACGTGCAAATGGTGCACTGGAGTGTAACCACTAGATGGAGAATTTCCACCTCGTGGCTGCTGCTGTTTGTGAACTTCCTTCCACAAGGACAACAAATTGCAGCAATGAACACCTCTCTCTCTCAAGGCAAGGCATTCAGGCACTGTTATCAGCAATAAATGTACTGTAACCCTACAGAAGAGCAGCCCAAGGGAGCAGAGGGCTCACACAATGCCAGGGTCTCGGAGTTATGGCCATCTGCACTAGAAGAGCTCTCCTTAAACCTCTCCCCACTCCCCCCTGGGCATTTCCTGGAATCAGTTCACAAGATAAAAGAAAAAAACCAAACCTCCCCTCCTCCACCAAGCACACAAACTAGGTCTCTTTAAATACATTTTTTGTAAACACATTACGCTAGATTTTTTTTTCATTAGCATTTGAATTGCCTTTTTTTTTTCCTTTTTTTTTTTTTTTTTTTAAATCAGGCCAGCTATAAAAACGGTAATCCTGGCCTGCTTCTGCTTTATTGACAACTGCAGTGTTTCCTCCTGCAACAACACGTGGGATATTCTCAGGACAGGTCCCCTGCAGGCAGCTGTTGAGCAGTGACCACACGGGTCAAACCCTGGGACACCCCTCAGGGGCTGACGACGTGCCCCGACCAGGTCTCGTGCTTGGTGCCAGGGGCGAGGTGGGTGATCACCACCTCCACTGCCTGCAGCTTCTCGTTCTTCGGGGGGATGGTGCACATCTTGTAGGTGACCTCGTCGCCCGCCACAGGAACGTACTCGCCCTCGATGCTGCGGAGGGGGGAAGCTCCAGTTAGTCATAAATCACCTCAACGCTCCTTTGCAGCTTATTTAAATTTTTATCATAATAATTATCTTGGATGCTTAATACACTTCAGGTTTGTTTTTGTTTTTTTACAGAGCCTGTCATCCACCAAAGTCTGGTTGGTCGATTTTGGTTGTCTTGCAGCAAAATCCCTATGGAAATACTATAAACGCCACCACCACCCTAAAAAAAACAACCAACCAAAAAAAATTCAAAATGAAAACAGAAAAACATAATAATTCCCACTCTAATATACCTTAAAGAATACTCCAGCTTGGGTAGCATCGCCGTGCACTGTGCACCAGCACCTCACCCGCTGGCAGCACTAGAGGGCAGGGCTGATGCTGTTTGGCACTTACTTTGGGGATATGGTTTTTAAACTACAGAAAGTTGATCCTTTTCTTTTTTCCCCTCCTTTTCACTAAAGCTTTTGAAGTTTGAGTTTAGGTTCTTTTCCCCTCTTTTTTTTTTTTTTAAAAAAGGGTTGTGCCGTGTAATGGAGAGATTTTACCTTCAGATTACTCCACTGTAACAGTTTGTGGTATGAAAAAAAAAAAAAACAAACAAAAAAAGCCCAAGTGAGCTGTGGTGTCAAATATTTCAAAATTACTTGCTGTGAGAAAAGAGAGTTGTGCCACCCTGATGTGTTGCACTGCAGAAAAACTCATCCAGCACTCAGGAAGATTTCCAGGAGTCGCTCACTCCTACCTATCATCCCCCACCAGTGTGATGCCACAGGATGCTGGAGGACTTTCACTGTGCATTTGTAACTGCATGTGAGTCCTTATCCTGAATCAGTGGGAGATGGCCAAAGGGCTGTCACCTTCTGTTCAGAACAATGTGCTGGTGACACAGAGAACTGCAAAGTGCAACAGCTTTCCTCACCCTGTGCTCAACATCAGCTTTGTAATAAAAATCCCAGCATGTGCCAGTGAAGACCAGCAGAGATTTCTCCAACCTGCATTGCCACGAGGCTCTAACAGTACAAACAATGCTCCTTCACCTTTCTTTAAATACATCTACATGAGTCCATGTCCACCTTCCCCTTCTCTGACAGCCTAGGCCCTAGATTTCTTGTTGTTTGAGGGTTTTCAGTGTCTCTCAGCAGCATCTGTATTTGGGAACAGATAAACACTAATAAATTCTACCTCATTGGTGTGACTTGTTTGTGAACTCCTATTAACTGGAGGTAAGATTTGGGTTCAGGAAAGAAAAAAAAAGTCATCTAGGTCAGAAGTTTGTCACACACCGCTGAGTTTGTTATTTGCCTTCACTGGGAGCACGGTCACACCACCCAAGAATTGTACCTCACGTGTTTCTGTTAATAGCAGAGATCTCAGATTTTAGCAGAGCCCTTCATATCTACTCTCATCTCGTGACCCATTACTGTTTGGGCTTTTCTATTGCAGGAAAGACTGGCAGGGCTGATAGGAGGTAAATTCACTGGTCCTTACTACCAGCTGTGACTTCACATCAGAGTTTGCTTCTCCCCACAGCTCTGCAAAACTTCTTCAGCTTCATCTCCTGCACTGCCTCTCCCCAACCCTTCCCCCTTTGAGGGCTGCCTCAGCTTCTGCTCCTCTCTGATGCCTTGTGAGTGCTGCTCAAGGAGCTGGTGACAAACTGTGCTGGAGCAAAGGCAGCAGGGACAGAATGGGTAACCAGGCAGGTACAAGGGAAGCTAAAACTGACCCACAAATCAGAATTTCTCGCATGGGAAATTCAAAAGAAAAGTCATTGTTTGCTTACTGATTGTATCAACATGATATTGAAAATGCTCCTGTATCTGAATATGGATCTAAAACCTGCTGTGAGGAGTTAAAGGCAGTCCCAAGGCCTGTGGCTTGAAATGCATGTCCTTCAGACTTTATTTCCCACTACGCCAGAGCTGCCTGTGACTACGGGAACAAGACCCAAGAGGGCATGCCCTAAGCTGAACTCTTCCAGCAAGAGCTGGGGAAAACAGGAGTAAACTGAAGGCAGAAAAAATATTTACAGAATAATCAAGATAAAGCCTCCTTCGTCAGACCTGACAGCCCTTTCCAGCCCAGGTAGGCTGATCCAGCTGACCTTTATTAACGACCAGAGTCTCCAGGCCAACCTGTCAGCCCAGTCCTGTATCACACCACATTCAAGCTCCCCCATCTGACTCCTGCTGTGCTGTCCTCTCCAATTACTGCCTTCATTTATACCCCACTTTCCCCATTTCCAACAGGTTTAAGATTCTTTCAGGTGTGAAGGGATTGCACATCTAATCCTTACTTTCCTTTCAGAAGCAAAGATTAACTTACCCTTTCTACTGCCAAGGGAATTTGCCACCAAATACCCTGCAGTTTACCCTGACTTCAAAACAGAGGATTTCAAGCAAGGATGTACTTGCTGGTGCTGCATCAGAGCCTGACAAGGGGATGTGAAGTTCCAAGAAGAGACACAGGTGAGGGTCAAACCACGAGTGAAAATGGGAATGGCACATAAATCACATCACCTTTCCTACTTGAACCTCTTGAATGATCACTTGTAGCCAAAAATATTGTTGCTATAGAGCTAAAACCATTATTGCCATGAGCAGTAACTCTCAACACAGCCCATGCAGGACATCAGTCCCAGCTGAGCAAGGCAGCACCTTTCCATGGAAGACAACGCAGCACAGGCATTTTATCTGCACAAGGGAACATGGGATGAGCAAAACACAGCAAGCAGAAACATTCCCAGATGGATGTAACGAATGCAGACAATGAGAGCTGAAGCAGAAAGGTTGCACTGACTCAGGTACAGCTGAGCCACTGCAACGACACACGTTTGTTTGTGGGGCCTCAAGCACCAGGACCAGCTGCAGACAGTGTTCCAGGGAGCACAGGCACAGCAGATACGTGGGGCAGGAACTAAAGCAGCATCTCCTCTTGGCATTACAGCCACTCCAGAGCCATGGCACTGCCTCTGAGTGCTGCACAGGGCAGGAACACACACCACGAGCAGTGAGATCACCACCGTGCAGGCATCAAATGAAACGGATGCCCTGCCCAGGAAGGGATCACAGGTTTGGCTGAAAGGGTTTGTTTTTAAGAAACAGGAACCTTACGTGTTCTTTAAAAGCTGCTGTGAAACAGGATGAGCCACAGTTAGCAAAATAAACATTTGAAATCCGCAAAAGTAAGTAGGTACAGTTAATGGAAAAGGAAAGTGGATTCACAGTCTCCTGAAGCAGCAATATACAAAATTAAAGCTCCTGAAAAATGGAAATAAATTAGGTATTACTTGAATCTTTAAAATCAAGTGATGAAGTACAGCTTGAGCACTAAAAAGGATGGGTGTTTTTTTGGGGTATGTTTGGTTTAAAACTGAAATATGACTATGTACCTGGATGGTTCTAGTAAGAAAGGTGTTGCAGATGTACAGGTAACCAAAGTGATCCTGTTTTTCCAAGAAATTAAGACCAAGTGAATCAAAACACACATAGGACTGCTGTGCCCAAAGTACAACTGCCCTGCAGCCAGGGAGATGAGAGGCAAAGGGCCCAGCCCAGGCTGCAGGACACACTCAACCATCACTGAAAGCCACTGCATCCTCAGCACTTGTTAGGTGACTGTTTGGGGCACTCCCTATGTAGTCCCTGGTCTGCAAGTGAAAAGGCCACATATTTGCTGACCCACATTTCTTATGCTGATTCATGAGGTTAAACACTCCTGTTCCTTCTACTAAACAGATCAGATTAGTCCCAAAATCTGCACAGCCCTAAGCATTACCCAGAAAGGTGCACTTTCCTCCACTAGAAAGCACTTCTTGCAGGGCTGAGCATTATGCTGACAGCATCATACCTTTTCTTGGTTTCTTTCCTTATCCAAGCTGACACTAGAAGAGACTGAAGCTTGTGATGAAACCTCATTTGACCCCAACATGTCTTCCTCTAATCCTCTAATTTGTAGTCTTTCCTTGCTTGTTGAGGTGACTCTAATCCATCAAGGCCATCCTGTCCTTTGTACAGCTGTGTGAAAAGGTTGTGGCTACACAAACATCTCCAATTTCATTTTTTGCCTTAGGCCTTTAAACTTTTCTCCCACAGATCAGATATTCTTTTCTTTCCTGCAGCTTTCTGGTCACCAGCCATTCTTGGTGCCTAACAAATAGGGGATTATTAATTCATTGCCCCCAGTGCCCATGAAAAGCAAGAGGACAAAGGTTCCAGTCTGCAGCCTGAATAAATGTTACTGAACAGTGCTCCCTGCACACTGTTTGCCCACCAAATGCTGCTCCTGGGATAGACACAGACTTATTCCAGCACTGCTATTGCTACACGATGCTGAGAGGCAGAAACAAGCAACGTGCAGACTGTGCAGCACTTCTGGTGCTGTCAGGAAAGAACAGCATGATGGCACTTGAGAGGTGATGAGATGGTGGCACTGGAGGCAGAGCCCTACACAAAGCTGGGGGAAGATCCTCCATCAGGAAGCAACTGCCTTAAGGGCTGAGTGGGAAATGAACGGGAAAAGACCAGAGAAAGTAAACAGAGTTCCTGGAACAGATTCAGCCCACAACAGACACTCTATAAACAATGTAAGTTACCTGGATAGTTTGGTAAAGGAAGTTAAACATAGACTTTTTTGATGCTATATATTGACTGAATATTTTTAGATCTGTATTTTTTACTTTTACCCTAACTATATGAAATGTTGATCTAGAGGAAGGTGGAGATATTCACAGCTATTTGAGACATAAGTGTGCGTGTTTGATTCAAAATAATGGATATCTATTTATCCAGGAATTTTAAAACACTGGAACAACTTCAAGCTAAAAATAGGAAATGCTTTCCTGATGTTAGTGTCAGAGTGAGACACAATAGAGTGAGTCTTAGATTATCCAGCAACTCCCATTTCCCAGCTCAGCGCCAGTCTGGTATGGTGGAGCATTTTATCCTGCACTATTTTTAGGAAACTGGGAGGTTATTAGGAAATTACCTAAATATGGAATG